TTATTAAAAATTTTAAAAGGCTTATCAAGTATTTATTCAAGATTTATTGATAATTTTAACAATTGTTATAATATAATAACATAAGATATAAATTTTTAGATAGATTCTCACCAAAACAATTTAAGAGTGCAACATATTATGTGCGAACTTGCCATATTTATTTAGTCCTTTCACATCCATGATAATTGAATATATATTGCCACTTACCCATAAATAAAAAAAATAAAAAATGTCCCATAACCCAAAATTTCTATCTAAAAAGGCGTCCTGCAACTATTACCAAACGGGAATATATGCAACTTGGCTTAAATGAAGGTCTCATAAATAACATTTCAACCCATATCATGATGGACAAAAGCCTAGTTTTAACCATTTGCCTTACTAGATTTGTAGATTTTAACGTTTCATCTTATATTATGACACTTTTAACCCCTCACCTATTAAAATTAAAGAAAAAAACCCTCACTTATAACATTTTGTTAATTCTGTTAGTTAACTGTTAACTCTATTAACTGATTATTAGTTAACTATTAGTTAACAAAAACCTACTTTCAGGTAATAAAATTTGTTTTGTTAGCTGACTGTTAACTCTATTAGTTGACTATTAGTTGATTGTTAGTTGATTGTTAATTGATTGTTAGCTGAATGTTAGCTGGCAAAAACTTATTTTTAGCTGATAGAATTAACAGTCAGTTAATAGATTTAATAATCAGTTACATAGTTATCAATACCGTACCGTACCAATCGGTACAACTAGTACATACCAATTTTTGCATTAAACCGAAACGATACATGGTTCAATTTCCTTCAGTCGAATTTCGTCCATTTATGTCAAATTTTAATGTACTGACCGGTACATGAAAATTGGCTGGTTCAACTCAATTCAAATTTAAAAAAGATAAATTTCATTTTTGATCCTCAACTTTAATGTTTTACATAATTTTCATCCTTTAACTTTTTTATGTATTTTTTTAATCCATTAACTATGAAAAATGTATTTTTTTAGTCTTTCTTTCAATTACTCCGTTACATTTGTCTAAGTATACACATTTTTAGTCCCTTAACTTAAAGTGGATGGATAAAAAATATGCATATATTAAAAGTTAAGGGATTAAAAATGATCATTTTAAACTTGTTTTCAATTTATAGGAATATGATGATTTTAAACATTAATATCTTTTATCTTGTTTTAAAATTTGATATTTAATTTATAAAAATATATATTTATAGTGATAAATCTAAAACAATATGTGAAAAATTTTAGTATTTGGTACGTACCGTTTTAGTAGCAAAATTGGTACACATGCCGATACGATATTGACAATTTTGATTAATTAACAGAACTAACGAAATATTATAAAATGAGGGTTATTTTCTTCAATTTTAATAGGTGAAGGGTTAAAAGTGTTATAATCTAAGGTGAGAGGTTAAAACCTATAAATCTAGTAACATAAAGGATTAAAAAAAAGTAGGTTGTTGCCTATCATGACTTGTAGCAACCCATTATAGAAAATTCTGTGTCGGGTCAATGTGGGACACCTGGGATGCATCATAAAACTATAAAATTCCTATTTAAGGAGATTCTAAAGGCATAATTGTATATGAGATGCTACTGTGGCATAACTAACATAGTCAAAGGTGCCAGAAATCTAAATGACAGCAAATGTAGAAGCAAATGAATGCTAGAATGGATTGGTCAACAATAGAATAAGAAATTTATCTCACATTTGGAAAGTTATCTCACAAAAATACATTCCTAACACAGAATTAACATAACATATTAAGATAACATCAAGAGAGAAGAATCACTAAGTGAATGACTTCCTAGTTTAAGAATGCAGAAAATACATTACCGTATTCTTAAACAACCTCCACCACTCCTCAAAAACGCATATAGCCTTTTTTTTCATAAAAAGGTAATTGGAACAGGAAGACATCAAGCCATACCAGAACAAACATATTCATTAATCATTTAGAATGTGCAAGAAAACCAAACTCGCTTGGAATGCCCAATTGTCATTCTCCATTAAATTGAAAATATGACTGCGCTCGTTCCATGGCAATGATCTCTCACCTTCATTTGCCTACATTTAAACAATGTTTCTTCAAACTCCCAACATAATGATAAGTCATCAATGATAAAATCAACTCCTAATAGCAAAGAAATTTTGAGACTCCATCATTCAGATTCAGAAAAATCTTTAGGCCAGAAAAATAAATTTTAAAATATGACACTGCATTAATCATTGTTTGAAACCAGTGAAAATAAGAACCCTCGGTCTACTTCCTCGAACAAAAAATTAATGAAAATGCTAACTAGAAGAAGATTCATGTTTTCACTTTCTTGTAGCAGTAACTACAGCCTCTCTAATCTCTGGTAGGCACCAAATCAGCTACTGATCAGTCATATTTATCATAAACAAGTCATATTTATCATAACCATAATTCCATGTGTCAAGCAATTGAATTTATCAAATAGGAAGCATTGGAATAGAAAAACTAAAAACTCATCAATTCTAGCCTACACCTAAGGTAGAGTAATAAAATTTGCAATTATATACGTTTCCTTCCAACGAATTTTCAGCAACTGAAGAGATAGATGAAGGGAAAAGAAAGGCAAGTGGGCAATTAGATTCCATGCTCTTTTCATAATCCACATAGTTCTTGGCTATCAAACAATTAAAGTATAAACAAATTCTTAGGAGTAAACACAAACGCATGAAAACAAGATTCGGTATCAGGAAAATGCAGACAGGTAAAGGAAACCTGCATCCTTGCCAACATTTTAATGAATTTCTAACGCTAGGATCTTAATGCAGCCATTGCAGGTTTCCAGTTTTTCTTTCTCATGAATTCACATGGTTCTCGTAAATGAAAAGCTTCATGAACATTAATCCTTATACCGGAAACAAACTTCAATAAATTCACCAAACATTAAATCAATATTCCAGAATTAAATCAAAATTTTATTTTTACCTCCATTTTGGGTGTCGGGAATTTGGAGGCCCATTTGTTTGGTAAAACCGGAATCGGGCCTTAAGTGACTCACTGTGGGCTGGGCATTCGTTCAATCGGTGGCCGTACCGCCAAAAACGTCGATTAACGATAATATACATTTTTAAATGGGTTTTTTTTTTTAATCATTATCCTTAAAATACATGTTAACTGCCATATTTGTTATATATTTTTAGTATTAATTTGCATAAAATTCATATCAATAAATATTTAATTCTTATATCAATTAATTTTTTTTAAAATAAATATGATAGAATAGTAAACTATATCTTATTAATTCTTTTAAAGATAATTATTGGTATACGATTTGATTTGACATATCTATTAATATCCACGGATATAATCATTACATTCTGCAGTTTTATATTTCTTCGCCTTTAACTCAAATTTAAAATAATAATTATTTAATGAGTATATTTTGAAATATGTTGAACGGAAAATTGTATCAATTTTTTTTTTTTAATCTTAGCATGCATAACTATTTGAAAAACTGCAATATAGTTTGAATTGTTTCAAACAGATAAAACATTAATTGTTGGATGAGGGACGAACCCCCTAATGTTGGCCCCCAATCCAACTAAAGATCCTTATTTTACAATTTAAATTGTAAAATAGCAAAGTCATAATAATTACTATATATATCCCTTTTTTTAACCTAAATTTGCCTCTTCTTTTTTGAATGCCATATTAGAAGATTTTAAGTCAAAATATAAAAGATATAACTCATTAGTATTATTCACTTAGTGCCTTTTCATTTACCTGTACATCATTTGCTAACTTACCTTTACATATTTTATCATTATATTATCAATCCACCTATATTTACCTCATAGTTTCTCCTTTTATATTAATAAATTTGTTTGTTAAATTACTATTATTTTTTCTCCCCTTATCCACCCATAATTCTCTCTCTCTCTCTCTTCCATTATCTAAATTAGACATGTTCTAAATCAAAATTTAAATGTTATAATCATCAATATTTTATCATTATTTGACATGTTCACATAGGTTGTTAAATTTTCATCTAAAATTCATATCTTAAAAATTAAAAAGTCAAATTAGGTTTATGAAAAATAAACAGAATGAGTACCATTTTTACCATAATATATATATAGGGGTTAGTGCTTGTCCGCTTTACCTCCAAAAATTAAGAAGAAAAAAGACAAAAATCACCTTAATGCATGCTTTAAAAATAAATTAGTTTAGTCTTTTTTAATAAAAATTTATTGAAGTGACGTAATTTTAGGATAATTTTCTTCCTAATCTTTAGGAGGTAAGACTGACAAGTACTTTTTTCATATATATATATATATATATATTTGTGTGTGTGTATGTATGTATATATCAAAAAATGTTTTATAAAATGGATTATACTTTAAAAGTGTAGTCAACCTTATAAACTATTTCTTATATTGTTTCACTGAAAGTATTTTAATAAATTTATAAGAGAGATTGTACTATTGATATATAGTCTAGAATGTATTACATGAATCCTTATATACTTATTTTTGGTACATAGGAAGCCAGCACTAGAGCTTAAGCTCTAAAGTGGGTTTTAAACTCTCTTCTCATTAGATTATTTAAGATTTTATAAGTATTTTTAAGAAATTTATTAAAAATCTTAAAGAGATTTATTGAAATTTTTAAAAGGTATATCAGATGGACAATGATAGGCTTACCCTCTGCCGTTACACACCTATCCACACATTAACGGAATCCGTCAAGTAACTAACGGAATCCGTCAAGTACCCTC